GGGGGTCTCACTCTTGCTCAGGCTGGTCTCAAACTCCTGACCTTGAGCAATCCTCCTGCCTCGGCCTCCCAGAGTGTTAGGATTACAGGCGTGAGCCACTGGGCCTGGCCAGGGTCTCTAGGATTTTGAATCTCGATCTCAGGCTCTAGAACTCAGCTGGGATCAGCTTCACCGGGGTATGACGGTTATACAGGGCCCCACATGGGGTTAATGCTGATATTCTTTATTTAATAGTTTTATCCTTGAGTTTGCATTTTGTATGAAATCCAATGGGACAATGGGAGCTTGGAGCTAGGCTCAAACGTGGTCCCACCTCCTGCTGCCTCCCAGGAGACCCATCAGCCAGCCACTCTCTGACCCTGCCTAGTGACTGCTGCTGTCCTCAGGTCCCCTGCTGATGTGGGGAGGGTCAGGACCTAGTACGAACCCTCTGCGTGACAAGTTACAGGGTGCTCCTGTGAGCGTCTGTACTCCCGCTGCAAGTATCCCCATGCCCAAGAGAGCGAGACTTTAAATAGCAAGTTTAAAAAGACCATGCAGTCTAGAGAGATTGCGGAAGAAAGGAAAAAGGGCTTTCCTGCTTTTTTGAACAAGGGGCCCTACATTTTCATTTTGCACTGGGCTTGGCAAATTATGTAGCCATCTCTGGTCACAGCAGGGTTCTAGTTCGCTGGACAGTATTGCGTAGTGGGTGAGCACTTACGCTCTGGTGCTGAATTTTCTGGGTTCAAATTTCTCCCTTATCCATAGAACCTTGGGCAAGCAACTCTGGGCCTCAGTTTTCCCATCTGTACTATGGGAATATTAATAGCACCTATTTGATAGGGTTATAGTGAGTCAAATAAGCACTCACTGTTATTATTATTTTAAATCGTTTATTGTGTTTGAGGCTGGCACCCCAGGCCCCAAGGCATTGACCTTAGGTTCTCAGACTCAGTCAAGCTTTCAAGATTGTGGACTCAGGTGGTGGCTGTTGGGCCCGGGCTCCAGGCCGAAGTCCTGAGTTTGAATTCCCTTTTACTGGTGTAGGTTCGTGGTTTACAGCTACAAATACGTGCACGAGGATGGCCGAGTGTCCTACCCTTTGTGTTTCATCTTCTCCAGCCCTGTGGGTGAGACACAGCTGTACTGTCTGAGGACGGGGACTTCGATTCCGGTGGGGGGTGTGAGTGTGTGCACGTGAGTGCGTGTGCGTGACTGCAGACGTGTACAGGCACCTGAATTAGAGTGTGAGCGTGTGACGGTGTGTGTGTGATGTGTGTGTGCGGCATGTGAGGACAGTGACATGGAGATGGAGGCTCAGACTCACCAAGAGTCCACCCGCCCTCCTCAGTCCTGGGGCGTAAGCCAACCCACCTTTTCCTTTTACCTGGAAATTCCCGTCTGGCCTCTAAATCATCTCCAGAGACCCTCAGAATAACTCGAAGCCCCCAAACAAACCTAGGAACTCTGAGTACAGCAGAGGGGCCACCTTTAGAACAGCTGCAAGGACTCTTAGAAAACTGCAGGGCCTGCGGGACATTGCTGGAGCACGTGCCTGGGTCCCCCCCACATGTGAAACCTTCTCCCGTTTTCCACGCAGGCTGCAAGCCCGAGCAACAGATGATGTACGCCGGAAGCAAAAACAGGCTGGTGCAGACGGCAGAGCTCACGAAGGTCTAGGCTGGGGCAGGCTCCCGAGTATGACAGGGAGGGAATGGGGTCTGGGGGCCTGGAGTCCTGGGTCTGAAGGAGAAGGGGGCCGGAGTCTTCACCGTCTCAGTTCTTGAGTGGATCATAACGCTGAGACCTCTTTCTGCCCAGGTATTTGAAATCCGCACCACTGATGACCTCACCGAGGCCTGGCTCCAAGAAAAGTTGTCTTTCTTTCGTTGACCTCCGGGATGGGTACTTGAATTCCTGATGTCTGAGTTCCCAAGGGGACTGGGGATCCGGACCCCCAGGACCTGAACATCCAAGACCATAAAGAAATTAAAAATGCAAGAACTCAGAGATCCTCAGTTCTGGCTGGCTCCGTTCCTGCCCCACCTTGGGGGCTCTAGCCGACAGTCCCTGCAGTGCCAGCCCTGGGCCGGCAGGGGGCGGGCAGACCTAGTGAAATGCAAGCTCGGTCCCCAGAGGAAAGGAGGGTACCTGTTTCTCTGAAAAAAAAAGGGAGGGACCTGTAGGATTTTCTGGGGTCGGGGGGAGATGTCGCAGGAGATGGGGGTAGCCTGGGTCTGGGTCTCCTGGAGGAATTGGGGGAATAGCTGAATCCATGGAGGGAGGTCACTCCCAAGGGGACGGAGGACACTGAGAGTGCAAGAGACAGAGTTCCTGTTTCCCTCCTCTCCTCCCTCCTCAGCGGGGGGCTAGCAGGCATCAGCTGGCTCTGAAGTCGATTTTTCTTAGCTAAGCCCCTGGGTAGGAAGAATTTAGGGCCAAAAGGATCAAACATAATTGCTTCAGGGCTTGGGTGTTGCTGAGGATGGATGGCTTGCGTGGCTGGGTCTGTCTTAGGGCCCAGGGCTGAGAAGATGAAGAAGATTCAGAACCCTCAGTGGACCCCCAACGGCTTTGAACTTGAGGAGACAGGGAAGGGACAGCTGTCCCCATTCTAGAGATTCTTCTTTCCTTGCTTCTGGCATCTCTGGGCATTGAACTCTCTCAGTCTTTTTCTGTCTCTGTCTTTGAGGGACATATATTGAGCACCCACAGTGTACCAGGCTGGGAGAATTCCGAGATGGGCAGGTCTTCATTGAAATGAAACTCACTCTTTCTGTCTCTCTCTGCTTCTCCTCCATGTCTCTGATTATTCTTCTCTGTCCCTGGATTCAGGAATCTGGGAACTCCCTCCCCCACACCCCTTTCCAGGTTCCTTGTAGAGAGGTGGCTGTTGCCATGGTAACAATGACACAGTGACCTTGGGCCTGGGCTGCCCCTCCCCCAACCCTGGCGTTCCTGGAGGGAGGGTCCAAAAGCTCAGATCCAACCTCCACCCGCAGCCATAACACACCATCATCCCCTCACCACCCCACTCCGCCCCATCTCTTGCTCCCTTGTCTCCAATTAGGACAAGCTGCAAGAGGGATTCAGGATAGAATCACTCTACACTGGGCCATAGAGAAATTCCCCAGGCCCTCAATTTTCTGAGGGGTTGGGTTGAGCTCCTCTCCTCTCTGCTAGTGCCCTTCTCCCTGTCTCCTTCTCTCTATCTCTCCCTCTGGTCGCAGGCCCAGTCCCTGATGGCAGGAGTTGGAAGAGGAGGAGGGCTAGGTCTAGGAGAGGTCACTCAATTCAGAGGACAAGGAACTCCTGGCCTGCAGAGGTCAGGAGGCGAAGGGACTCCTCCAAGGTCATGCACTTACACGATCAAATGTTAATAACAGCTAACCCTTCTACTGAGGGATTCCTATGTGTCAGGTACTTCTATAAGCATTTTATAGGTATTAACTCATTTAATCCTTATGTTACCCCATGAAGTAGGTACCCACTATTATCCCCAATTGAAAGATGAAGAAACGGAGGCACAGAAGCCAGAAATGGTTGCTTGAAGCCACAGGGATAGTGGTCTGCACAGTTAGAACTCTAGCCCCACGCTATCTTGTGGTCGATGGTCACACCCTCACTTAGGCAAGAGATTTAGGGAACCATCTCCTCCTCCCCCAGCTCCTTCTCCTCCCCAGGGCACCCACCTCTTCGTGTGGAACTTCTGTTTGCATCCAGGCTCATGTTTGCAAACACTCCAATCAGAAAGAGGCATGTACAAGGATTTGCCCAATCAGGAGCTAAGAATTTGGAAAGCAGGGGCCAATCAGAGAAGTGACTCAGAGAGGCAGTCCAATGCCAAGTGAATGTGGCTGGGGATTGTGGAAGGACCGATTAGAGAGCCAGAATAGAGTACACTATCCAATGAAGAGTTACCAAAATGGGGAGTATCTTGGGTTTGGGGTGACTCCCTCGAGAAGCGGTACAAACTGGGGATCCCCTCCTCTAGTTCCACCAACTTATCCTGCTCCCTAACTTTTGAATCTACACCCTAGACTTTCCTTGGGGGACTTCTTCCTAACCTTGAATGTGAGCCCACCTCAGGTTGGAGAGGTGGAGATTGGACTCTGGGACGGAGCTGAGAGTGGAGGACCCAGTCTAGGCATTAGGAAACGAGCCTAGGCTGAAAGCTGGTATGCTTTAGGGGCGGAGGCTAAACTGGAGGGGTGGGGCTTGGGTGAAGGGTGGAGCTTAGGCTTGTAGGCGGGGCCTAGGCTGAGGAAGTCTGAATATTATATATTTTGGGGTGGTCTCAAAGATAGAGCTGAGTGGGCGTGGCTTAGGTCAGATAGGGCTGGAGTTTTGGGGGGCGGGGCCTAAGAGACAGTGGGTGTGGCCTAGGTTTGGGCATGGGTCCTAAATTGTTCAAGAATGGGATTGGTCGTGGGTCTGTATTAGAAGGTTTGCGGCAGGAGTTGGGGCCCCAGGGACACAATTAACACTACTTCAACCTGCTGCCCTCTCTTTGAGGCCAACTCACACTCACTCCCTGACCTTATGGCTGCGGTCCCCAACCCCAGGCCTGTTAGAAACCAGGCTGTACAGCAGGAGGTGAGAGCAAAGCTTCATCTGTACTTACAGCCGCTCCCCATGGCTCGCATCACCGCATAAGCCCCGCCTCCTGTCAGATCTATGGTGGCATTAGATTCTCATAGGAGCACATGCGAGGGATCTAGGTTGTGCGCTCCTTACGAGAATCTAGTGCCTGATGATCTGAGGTGGAGCTGAGGCGGTGATGCTAGCACTGGGGAGGGGCTGCAAATACAGATTATCATTAGCAGAGAGGTTTGACTGCACAATAAATGTAATGCGCTTGAATCATCCCGAAACCTTCCCTCCCCACTCACCCCTGTCCGTGGAAAAATTGTCTTCCACGAAAACTGATCCCTGGTGCCAAAAAGGTTGGCAGCAGCCTTATGGGACATTCTCCAGACACTGGGGTATACCTTTTTCTTCTAGTGGCCCTGGGCTGGGAGGTCGTGTTTATTACTTACTGTGGTCCCTGAAATGAGTCTGGAGCAGGCCTAGCTCCCCACCCCTTTCCCAAGACGCATCCAAGAACACGTGTTTACCGAGTTACTGGGTGTCAATCACCGTTCCGGGCACTGGAGAAAATTGGTGTCCCTGTGACTCTCCCCCTTGGGAAGCTTACATTTCAATAACTAGACAGTAAATAAATAACTTAGTAAACAATAAATAAGTAAACAAGTAAACAAATAAGATCCTTTCAGAGAGTGGTAAGTGCTATGAGAGCAAGAAATGAGGTGATGTGCTAAATGGCGTGACCTGGTGGGGAAATTGCTTGCCTCTTTAGTCTCTAGAAGAGTCCCGCTTCCCCTCCACCCAACATTTACTACAAAAAATTTCAAACTTGCAGCAAAGATGAAATACTTTTATAGTGAACACCCATATACCCACGACGTAGATGCTACCACTGACATTTCACTGTACTTCGTTTATCACACCTCCATCCATCTATCCATCCACCAATCCATCTTATTTTTGTATATTTCAAAGTAACATAAGAACACTTGGAGAGGGCCCCAGTAGGGGTGATGTGTGTAAATTAGGGATGGAAAAGGAAGGTCTCTCTCTTGTTTTTTCTTTTGAGACAGAATCTTGCTCTGTTGGCCAGGCTAGAGTGCCGTGGTGTCAGCCTAGCTCACAGCAACCTCAACCTCCTGGGCTCAAGCGATCCTCCTGCCTCAGCCTCCCAAGTAGCTGGGACTACAGGCGTGTGCCACCATGCCTGGCTAATTTTTTCTATTTTTAGTAGAGAAGGGGGTGGGTCTCACTCTTGCTCAGGCTGGTCTTGAACTCCTGAAGCTCAAGTGATCCTCCAGCCGTGGCCTCCCAGAGTGCTAGGATTACAGGTGTGAGCCACTGCACCCAGCCAGAAAGATCTCTCTTAACTCACCCGAGTTAAGACCGGAATGAAAAGAAGGAACCAGCCGTGGAAAGGGGAGAAGAATGCAGAGGCCCAGGGGCTGCAAGGACTGGTGTATTGGAGGAAAGGAAAAGTCGTCGCTGAAGCTGGAAGACAGGGTGGTTGGGAATGAGGTCAGCAGGGGCCGGATATCACAGGGCCAGAGAGGCTCTACGAATGAGGCTGTCTCTCTGTCTGGGCCTCATGCGCTCTGTTTCTCCATCTCTGTGTATCACTGTCTCTCTTATTATTATCTTTTTTCTCACCCTCCCATTTCCACTGCTGTCCAGCCTGGGCCTGTCCTCACCGTCTTTCCCCTTCACCTCCATGCTTTTCTGCCATGTACTATCTGTGTGACGTTGGGCAAGTGACTGAACCTCTCTCTGCCTCAGTTTTCTTCATCCGTAAAATGGGAATAGTAACAGGACTTCCTGATCTGGCTGCTGTGAAGATTGAATGAAGTATTATTTATATGTGAAGCCCTTAGAATCCTTCCTGGCACACAGGAGGGCTGGATATGTGTTCACTTTTGTTGTTGTTATTCTTCCTACTGCTGTGCTCCAGTAGGGAGCACTAGAAACCATGGGAGGTGGGGATGCTGCCTGGGTGGTGGTGGGGAAGGGTGGAGTCTGGAGACTTGAGGGCTTGTGAGTGTCCCCAGGGGCATCTAATGATTGTGAGTGGGGTCAAGGTTCGCTAGAGGGAGGATCTGCAGAAGTGACTTAATCTAGGGGGTAGGGCAGGCTTCATGTGAAGAATTTAGAGAAGGGGTTTGGGGGAAGACCTCGATACAGTGGGATCCAAAATGGGATTTGAGACTCCAGGGATCTGGGGGACTGCATGCAACAAGGCGGATTTTTAGGGGAGGACTTGCTGGGTTTGGGGGCCCTGTGGGTATCTCAGAAAGAGATGCGGAGTGGCCTGAGAAACTCAGTGGGGTTTGAGGGAACGGCTGGAGGGGGTCAGCTATGGGGTAGGGGTTGGGCAAAGGGCTCTGAACAAGGAAGGAGTAAGGCATTCTGGGCTCCATGGAAGT